ACGGCAAATAACGTCTTAGTCTTATTATGAAAGTAGTTTTGACTGAACCCCCTGAACGAATCTTAGGGGCCCCTAGGGGTCTTTGGAGCACACTTTTAGGGCTGTTGGTCTAGGCTAAGGCTGGAAGGGGAGGAAAGAGGCCTGGGAAGGGTGGAGATGAAACTTTAATCATGCTTAGAAATGCCTTATCAACGGAGGAGGCAGCTGGGAATAAAGAGGAGGAGAGAATTCCTAGATTCTTTCCCCCAAGGACCTCTGCAGTGCCCCTTCCTACTCCTGACCTGCCTTGCTCCTGAGCTGTCCCAGCCAAGTCAACAGCTACCTTCTAAAGCTCCTCCATCCTGGGATCTTGGAAGCTCTGTCTTGCAAGGCCAAAATACTAAGAGAATCCCATCCTGGTCCATGTACCTGTCATGGCTGCTCGCCACCTGACCCTAGAGCCCCAAGGCTCTGCTAGACTGAATCTGTGAGTCTGCTCAGACCAACTACCCTGTGTTAAAAGGCATTCTATTCACACAGAATGAGAACCTGCTGTGTACCCAGTCCTGTGCCAGGTGCTGATGGGAGGGAAGATGACAAAGCCATAGCCCCTTCCCTGATCACCTCAATAGAGAGGCTTACTTCACATCTAAAAAGGGAGCTCCGATGAAAAGGCTGTGGAAGGAAGCAGATATTAGCATGTCTTGGAGGCTTCCTGGAGTAAATGTGGCTTCAAGGAGGACCTGGAAGGCAGAGGTAGAATTTGAGTCAAGGGGGAGAGAGAAGGCATTCTAGATCTAGGCAGGAGGGTGGAGATGATCACGTGCAGGACTGGTGTATTAACAAGCCTGTTGAAAGCGAGAGGCAGAGCTGGGTGGAGTGGGAAGTGAGGCTGAAGACATAGGGAAAACTGTGAATGTCTGACTTGTTCCATCAGTCACGGGCCGCCAATGCAGTTGTGTGAGCAGAATGAAAGCTGTGTTTTAGGAAGCTGAATCTGGCCAGTTGTGCAGAAAACACCTGATGGTGTGTGGGACAAAAAGAATGAATACCAATTTATTTACAGTATTTCATTTCATCCTCACTCCAGCCCTGTGAGATGGGGTACTATTATTTTCACCCACAGGAAATCGAGGCTCAGAGAGATTGGTTAATTTACCCAAGTCACCTGGATGGTAAACTACCAAAAATGGATTCCAACCCAGGCCTACTTCCAAAGTCTGTGCTCTGAATAACCACAATGGTGGAGGGGGGAAAAGGGAGTAATTATAATAATGATAACAGCTAACATATATTGAGCGCTAAATATGTGTCAGGTTGCAAAATCTGTACACTATTTCATTAAACCTTCACCACAACCCTGCGACGTAGGGACCATTATCATCCCATTTCGCAGATGGCAAAATGGAGACTTGAGAGGTTAAGTCATTTGCCCCAGGCCTGAACACAGCTAAGTTCTGGAGTGGGACACACACTCAGGTCTATCTAATTAACTCTAGAGCCCAAGCTTTTCCACTTTAAGGTCTACTGCAGAAATACAGACAGTAGACGATAAGGACCCGAACTAGAGTGGTAGCCAAACTCCTCTAGAGCAATGGCTAGTGAGGGCTGAGTCGAGAGCTGTCACAAAGGAAGCCCCGACAGCACTTCCAGCTGCCTCCATTTTATAGTCAGGAGGCAGTGCCATTGGCAGATCAGGCTCAGCCCCGGAGCACTGGTGATGGCTATGGTGGAGACTTGCTCAGGTTGAGGCACCAGTCACCCACTTCCACTGGTCCCTTCTGCCGTCTGCCTAACTCCACAGCAGCACATGGGCCCCTAAGTGGGGCCCCTGGGGCAATTGCCAAATGGACCACACCCTCCAAATAGCTGTATTCTAAAATCTCATAGAGTGCTGAAACCAAAGAGACCTGAATTCCACTCTCTGATCTGTTACTCACTAGCTATTTGGTAAGTCACTTAATCTCTCTTTGCCTCAGTAGCCTGCTCATCATCAAATGGGAGCAATAACAGTACCTACCTCATAGGATTTCCGTAACGAGTAAATGAAGTAATAAAGCAACAAAGTGCTTAGCACAGTACCTGGCCCATCGTAGGCACTCAATAAATGTTACCTGTTTTTGTTGTGGTGGTGGTTATTCGTATTAGTTTGTCAGGATCCACCTCCCAGGAAGATATCTGCCACTGGTCATCAGCATCTGTTGTTTACTTAGGCAGGATCACCAGGACACTGAGACTAAAAAGAAAAGAGAAGAGAATGCACTACTGCGACCTCAGTATCACTGCGTCTTCCCAAGGCCTCAGGCCAGGCTGGGAAAGGAAGCTGTCTCGGACAAGAAGGACTGAAGAGGCTGGCTGGAGCAGCCAGGGATGGTACGGAATGGAGTGAATAGAGGAGGGAAGGAGCCCAGCTGGGAGTGACCTTCCCAAGCACCCTTCCTCCCTCCCCTCCTCCTTCCTCCGAGCTCTGTTTTTCTAGGCCCCTGCCGTCCAAATGAGCAGCAAATGGGGAGCTGCGAGGGGCTCTGCCAAGAGAGCTCCGCACCACATGGGCCACAGCCCTGGCTCAAATGGCGGGCCAAGAGGTAGGGGAGGCAGGAGGAGAGCTGACCCGGCAACAAACTGTTCTCCGGAGGGGAGCCCCTGTCCCAGGAACCCAAGGAACTGGGTCCAAGACCTGGTACATTTGGGACATTTGGACTTGAGGGCAGAGGCCACAGGCACCATTTGCTATTGTTGCTGCGGGGACAGGCCTGGGTGGGGGAGAGACTCTTCCCCCTTCCTCCTCTCTCAGAGCAGACTCTGCCTTCTTTCTTGCCTCCGTCTGGCCCCATACAGCTTTTTAGGCTCACTGGCCCGATCCCCAGGGGCCCTGGCTCAAGAGGCAGACGCTGGAGGGAAAGAGTAAGATCTCCTTCCCTGACGTGACAGCAGAACCAGTTCTGGGGCTTTCAGCCTGGCATTCTAGATCCTTCTCCATCAGTTTCCTGCTGGCCTAGGCTTTCACCATCCCCGGGACAGCCCCCTTTCCTCACTGGTCCCCACTGGCCGTGCAGTGCAGTGCGGTGGGTAAGAACCCCGAGACTATGTGAGTTCAAATCCAGCCTTGTCACTTTTAGCTCTGTGACCTTGGGCGAGTACCTTAATCTCCTCTAAAAAATGAGGCTTGTTAACAGTATTTTCGTCATAGGGTTGTTTGTGAGACTTAAATTAATCCATGCAAAATGCTTAGAACAGTGCCTGGTACATAAATGTTTAACAAATGTTCTCTACTCTGACTGTCCGCCTCTGTGTCAGTTCTTCCGGTCAGGATTACATTTCCCCTTCTTTCTGCCTGCTTAAGCCCCAGCCAGCTCGATTGCCCCCTCCTCCATGAAGTCTCTCTGGCATTACCAGTTCTCCTAACCTCTACTGTACACCCCGGTGAGACTAGACCCACTTTGAGAGCAAGGACTGTGACATGAAGAGCACTGACTAAATGAATCACAGAATAACATCTAGTCCCCTGAGTGCAGTAAAATTTTGTGACAGGGACTCTCAGTAAGAAATATATTTTACAGCATGACCTAGCACATGCATTTGTGTATCTTTAAATCTAGATCTATGATTAAAACAAAAGTTTCATGGAAAAATATACACCCCTACCGCATGTGATTCACGTAGTTCACACTTCATCTTGTTAAATTCTGGTTGCAACCCACTAAATTGATTTCAAGCCCTGCCACTGTTGTGACCCACAGCGTTCTCTGTGATAAGCCCTATACAAGATTCAGACCTGCAGAGACTCTCAACGCTGAAAAGACTACAGGTTTTGAAAAGCCACGGCCTGCTTACAGAGCGGATGTCAAGTCAAGGGGAGCTGCAGTGGAGGGTGTGTGGGGGGCACTGGAGGCAGAAGACCGGAGAGGCAGGCTGGGCTTAGGCAGCAAAGGTCTTCAATCGCCACACAAAGCAGTTTGGACATTTCCCATAGGCGATTGGGAATCACTGGAAGTTTTTAAGTACAGGGGAACCAGCCTCAGTTCTGTGTTTTAGAAAATTCACTGGGGTAGCTACGAAGAGGACAGATTGGAAAGGCCAAGTCAAGGACAGGCGAACCTCTCTGGAAGCTGTTTCAGGCATCCAGGTGAGAGAGGACACGTAAGCCCACGATTGAAAAAACAACTGGGAGAGTGGGGAAGCATAGAGGAGACAAATTGAAAAATGGCGAAGACTAGAATCAATGGGGCTTGGTGGATGAGGTTTTTAGCTTGAGTGACTGGATCAATAGGATTCTGGTCACTGAAGTAGGTACAGAGGAGGTTTGTAGGGGAGAAAAACAGTTCAGTTTTGGAATGAATTTGAGATACCTACTGGGAAAATTTCAGGCTGGAAATATAATTCTCAGTCTTTCATTCATTCAATAAGCATTAATGGGACTGACATAGAGAAATTAACATTTTATTTTGCCAAGTGGGAACACTAAAGAAATTAACTAACATCCACCATTGCCATCGTTTCAAAAAAGACAATATTTTGTCACCAAAAAAAAATAGGAAAAGCATAATCTCAGAATAAAGGACAGTCCTTTATAATTGAACGAATTTAGATTATTGAAAAACTCTGCTTTTGATGCTTTTCCCATTTTGCTGTGACCCATTGAAAACATCACGATGTATCAGCCTGATCTGTGGACTGTAGTTGAGAACCACAGATCTAAGGAATGGGCAGAAGAAGAGAGGTCAGCAAAAGAGACCGAGAGGAATGGTTCCAGAAGCAGGAGGAAAACCAGGAGAGAGTGATCATGGAAGCCAAGAGAGGAAGGAGAGTTTCAGAAATGAGGACTTGACCGGGGCCGGCCCGGTGGCGCAGCGGTTAAGTTCGCACGTTCTGCTTCTCGGCGGCCCAGGGTTCGCTGGTTCGGATCCCGGGTGCGGACATGGCACTGCTTGGCAGCCATGCTGTGGTAGGCGTCCCACGTATAAACTAGAGGAAGATGGGCACGGATGTTAGCTCAGAGCCAGGCTTCCTCAGCAAAAAGAGGAGGACTGGCAGTAGTTAGCTGAGGGCTAATCTTCCTCCAAAAAAAAGAAAAAAAAAAAAAGAAATGAGGACTTGACCAACAGTGTCTTTTGCCACCCAGAGTTCAAAGAGATCACTGAATTTGGCAATTAGGAGGTCATTGGCGACTTTTGCTAGTGCCCTTTCACTAGAAGGGTGGGGCTGGGGCCAAATTGCAGTGGTTTGAAGTGTGAATGGGAAGTTTGGAAAAGTGGAAGTCCAGAGTGTATACTCTACTTTCGACAAATTTGAGAGTGAAGGAAAGAAAAGAGAGAGGGAAAGAGGGACGGGGAGAGAGAGAAAGAGATTGAGAGAGAGAGCAAGTTAGGGGAGCAAGAGAACACATCTGGGGAGGGAGGGCCCTTTTTTGGGGATAACAGAAGCAGGCATTTTATAGCAGGGAAAGAGCTGGTATAAAGAAGCTGACTTTTCCTGAAGAGAAGGGGCATAATGTCTGAAGGAAGGGCCCCAGGGAGGGAGGGTAGATGAGGCCAAGGCCCAGATGAAGGGATTAGCCTTTAACGAGAGGGGCACCTTGTCCCCTGAGAAGGGAGGGCTCGAGGGGAAGGAAGTTGGAGAGGCAGGCCAATTTTGGGGGGTGGGGTAGGGCACTGAGGTAATTCACGCTTGAAGGCCTCTGCTTTCTCAGGGAAGTGGGAGGAGAGGTTGTTCCGTGCAGGGAGAGGGGCGAGGCAGGAACATGGTACGGAGCTGAAGGAAGTTTGGAATGTGGCCCAGGAAAATGTGGAGGCTGGAGTAGAGGATTTGACAAGGGAACAACTCAAGGGTGGCTGAGGGCTACCGGGACCCAGCTGAGGTTGACTGAGTTCGTCTTCCCCTGTGCAGGTCTGGTCTCCCACCCTAAGCTGTAAACACCTTGAGGCAGTACCTGCAGCACTCTCCTCTTTCTAGAGAATTCCCTTGTCAGGCAATGCCCAGCAGTGGCTGGCCCTGAGGAGGCACCAAGCCCTCTCAGAAGGGTCTGGCAAAGCAAACACTGACAAAACTCAGAAGCACTATAGGGCTACTAGGGGAAACAGAGGTAAGATCAGAATTCCCCTGACAGGAAGTTCTTCAGTTTGGTTGTTCCAGACCTTTCCTGCCACCCTGCTGGCCACTTTACTCCTGTTCTGTGCTGAGTGCAAAGGAGAACAGCCAGGTTCCCACTTCTGCCCAGCAACACTTGCAGGCCTCAAATCCTTCAGGCTGGGGAGAGGACAACGAGAGGGGCCAGTGGCCTCATCTCCCACAAGCTGAATGAGGCTGAGGCCATTCTTAGGTAGCAAGACAGAGTAGTTGGTCTGGTTGGGCATGAGCTCTGGGCTCAGGAGGAAAGTCTACCTCTTCTCTCTTTCCCTCTTCCCTCCTGCCTATTTTCAGAGACTATGGCCACCTAGAGGTCAAAAAGATCCCAGCGTGTGACAAGTCAGCTTCATAAGCCATCTCCTTCTAGCCCAGTCTCCTCAGCCTGCCTCCTTCTCTCAGCCTCACTCCTCATTTGAGCTAGTGATGCAGTACAAGCAAATTCTCATCTTCTGGAGGTAAATTTACCAAGAACTCTCAGAGCCGGCTGGAAACTCGGGCTCGTAGCAGCCCTCCTTGCCCCACCCCGCCAAGATTGCCCTCTCCGGGATGCAGCCTGCACTTACACAGTTCAGGGACAGAGAGCTTGGCCCAGTCCATGGCAGCACATTCCACGGCTCTCATTTTACCACATATAATAAACCTCTGTTTACTGAGGGCCGGGACAGTGTCAGGCCCCTGGGTTAGGTGGTGGCTGGGCTGTTAGAAAATTTTCCCTTGATGGAGCCAAAATGTGTCTCCGTGTAGCTTCCATCCATGGACCTCAGACCTCCTTTTGAAGTCACACAGAACAAGTGTAATCTCAGGACAGTCTAATTCTCAGAAGTTTGAAAATGGCCATCATTTCCCCGAGTTTTCTCTCCTTCACATGTAAGCATTTCTTCCTTTTTACTTTTATGTGTCTTTACTGTTTATTACCCAAATAGTATCAGGTCTTGTGGAATTTCTTCGAAAATTCAGAAAAGCATAAAGAAGAAAGTAAAATTCTACCATAATTTCCATAATCTTATTCCCAGAACTCCCATAACATTCTCCTTTCTTCTAACCAGTCTTTTTTTCCTGCATATTGCATATTCTACACTTTTTTTTCTTACCAAAATGAGATCATCTTCTAAGTTATACTGTAGAGGCTTCTTTTTCTTCACTCTTCAATATATTAACTTTTCTGGAATCTTCTACCAAGCCAATTTTAATATGAAATTGTCTAACTGTTCAATGATTTATTTAACCAGCTTTCTAAAGTGAGCCATTTAGTTTATTTCCAATTTTCTTTTGCTACAAAGAACACAGTGGCACTGGAATTGAAAGTAGGGTAGACGTAAGGGGTAGGTGAACAGAAAAAAGAGGAGTCCTTGAATCCATTCTTCATACCATTTCAGCATCTGATTTTTTTCACTTTCTGTGTTGATAATTATATTTCCTAAAACATGATTGTGAGTGCCTGCTTAGTATTCGGTTGTAAGGACTTCCCCTAATTACTGTAACTGGTTCCCTATCGAACATTGAGGTTGTTTCCGATTTTTGATGGTTACAAACCTGGCTGTGACGAATATCTAAGGAGCTAAATCCATGCTAGTGCTGGACACCGAGGTCAAGGGGAGTATTTTCGGGATCTCTAAGGCATAAGGAGCCTGTCAGTAGTTGTAATTGGCAGCTTTTTGGCAAAGTCCCAGAAGAATGGCTGAGGCCAAGGACTGTGCTTGAGCCGCTGGGCTTGCCCGGGGTCAGTACCCATTTACCTGGCTCCCGTCACAGAGCGTTCAGGCTGGCAGTGCCCTTTGGGACTGCTGGGCTGCACCCTCCTCTCACATGTGAGGGAACTGAGGCCCTGGGGCCAGGCATGGTCGGTCCTTCAACGGCTTAGCAGCTGGGCAGAACTCTGCCTGCCCCCAGCACCCCGGCTCCTGGACTGGAAGCTGAGCTCGGAGATTTGGAATGTGACCTGGAAGCCCTGGAAATGCTGCCTGCACTCCTTTGCTGGACCACTGACTGCTGAGGCTGGAGAGAGGATTCAGGCCCTTTTGCAAATGAACCAACCACTAAAGGGGAGGGAGTGGAAATAGACCACTTGATGTTTCCCCCACGGGCAACTGGAAACTGCTCCACCCAGAACCTCCTTCTTTCCTAGCCCAGGTGGTATGCTTACTGGCAGTCACCCTGTATCAAGTTCACCTGGCAAAATCTATTTGGGGTTTGAACTGCAATAACGTGCGAGTCCCTTATGCTCCTTAGCCGGGCCAACTGTCCCTTTTTGCTGGGAACCGGCTTTGCTAAAGGCCAGTCTATCCAGCCCTGTGTGCCTGACAACTTTCTGTGGTTTCGGGTGCTAATGAGCTTCCCGCCTTTCCCTCCTCCGGCGTTGCTACTGCCTGGGGAATTTGCACAAATGGTGTGCGATTTGTCCCTTCTGTGTTTTCCTTTCTGACTTGGAGGTAAAGAAAACCCCTCACCCCCCACTGACTCTCTGTTTATTCAACTGGGAGAGATTTCACACCCGGGAACCCAGCTCTCCCTCCCTGAGCCCCTTTCCTAAATCTTTAGCCTCGTCCCAAGGCCCCCACCCCTGCATGTCCCTGAATAATTGATGAGTCCAGGCAGGCCTTATTAAAGGGTCTCCCAGGAAAGGCCAAAAGCGTGCAGGAGGTTCTGAGAAATAGGAGCCCCCACAGCCTGCCTGGCCTTGACACCCTAAGGATGGATCCTGCTGCTCCAACTGCTGCTGCCCCTGTCCCAGCCCTGGCCCTAGCCCTGGCTCCGGCCTTAGCACAGGCCCCCCTGGCCCTCCCTGGCCTGTTAAACCCATCGCTCCTTCTCTCCTCTGGACAAGAAGTAGATGGAAGCCGAAGGTAAGTGGAGCCTGCCCTTTGGCAACCTGAATTCAGGCTTAGTGGGGTTCCTGGGAGAGGAAGGAAAAGGAGATGTCCAGGGTGCCTCAGTTCTCTGTGAAGGGGAAAGGCAAAGGCCTCGCAGCCTCAGAGAGTGCCCCCTCCACATCTCAGGCTGGACTGGCTTTTCACCTCACTAATCCCTCTGGGTGGCTAGAGGGGACTTGGGAACAGTGGGCATTGCCAAAGCCGAAAGCTGAGCAGCCAGGCCCTCCTGGCCAAGTTGCTCAGTCCACTGAGGGGCACAGGGTGGATCGCCATGACACGGAGCTTTAACAGGACCTAGGCTGCAGAGGGGGAGAAAGAGGGCCGGCATCCCAAGAGGCCTTTGACTGGGGGACTGTCTCGTTCTTGACCACACCTTAAGATTTCCCTTTGCTTTTTTCCTACCTCTGGAAGTCTAGTGGGGAAGCAGGGGGCCCAGGAATATTTCCGGCCCCTTTCCTCACCTCAGGAAGATGGTAGGACTCTGAGCTCTACTTCTTGGAGCAGAAGGTAGGGGGCAAGATATTTTTCATACAATGCTCCTTCATTCCTCCAAAAATTGAACATTTGACAAACATTTACTGAAATGCCTACTGTGTACCAGGCATTGTGCTAGGTGTTGGGGATTCAGATATGATCAAACATAAATCTGCCCTTAAGAAGCTCAAAGGCAGGTAAACAGTCACAAAACAGTGCGATAAGAGCAACGATAACATTGTTGAAGCAGAGAGGAGGGGCATCTGTCCTGACTGGGCTCAGGGTCCTTAGGAAAGGCTTTCTGGAGTAGATGGCATCTGAGCCAAGTTTTCTGGAGGCCTCTTTTGTTATCTCAGGGAGTCCATGTTCCAGTCCCTTCTTCCTCCACTGATTGATCTCTCCTCTTTGTCCCAGAGGAGCTTGTCTTTGGAGGCCCTGGCTGTCCTCTACACGTGACCCTCCAAGGCAGGTGAGGAAACTTGTGGATTTGGTGAGTTTGAGCCCCTGTTATACATGTTCACACACACACAGCCATGTGCATTCACACAGACCAGGTCCCTTCCCAGAGAGCCCCTGACCTCAGTTCAGGCCTGTAGATCTGGGAAAGCATCTTGACAGCCTGCTCACATTTGATTCCAACAGCTCTAGGAGGAAGGGAGACTAAGGTTTCTGTGGCAATTTGAAAGATGAAGGGACTTAGGCCCAGAGTCGGGGAGGCCTCTGGGCAGGCCCCACGGCTAGTCTGTGGGAGAGCTGGTGCTAGATCCTGGTCCCTGGCACCTAGCCCCCATGCTCTGCCCCCACCCCCACCCCCACCCCTGAATCCTCGCTGCTCTAGTAGAAATCTATGCCCTGGACAGTCTCCAAACAGGTGTTAGAACAGGGACAGAAAAGCAAACAACCCCCAGGGCTCTGTCCACTTGTTTTTCAACCAAAACCAGGACAGACCCCCTTGATTGGGGGGCAGGGGCTGGGCCCCAGAGATGTCTAAGGTCTCTTCTAGATCATCTTCCCTGTAGGTTTCTGACCCCTGATACGCAAGAAGCAGTTATCTGGCCATGTACTTTGAGCCACATGCTAGCTTTTGCTTTGGACAGGCCGCTGGTGGAGCAATAGGTGCTGAGGTCACCAAGGCTGACTCCGAGTTTCATCACCCCGTCAGGTAAGCTTCGGGCATCAACCTTAGAACTTGACATAGATCCTTTCACTCTTTAAGTCCTCACAGCAGCCCTGTGAAGCAGGAGGAGGGAGGCACTGCTACAATCACTATTCCATAGACCAGGAAACTGAAGCCCGGAAAGGTTAAGAGACTTGGCCAAGGTTGCCTTCCCTGGAGGCATTGTCAATGACCCCTAAGAATGAGCCCCTGTGGGCAGGTCAGTGAAGGAAGCCTTAGCAGGAGATGAAGGACACGGAGCTAGAGAATTCTTGACTAGAGGCCTTCTGAGGTGGGAGTTGGATCAGGGTCAGAATTGAAGGATGCTGGCGCTGGGGCTCCCCACAGCTGCAGGCTCACCAAATATTACCTTTGTGCCTGGGGCCATTTTGTAACAATTCAGAAGGTTCTGTTACAAAACTCTCTTTCTTCCCTTCCCTCTCACCCCATTACTGCAGGGAGGAGAAGGGGTTTAGGGGATGGCTACCTTCTTGACTCTACTGACCCCTCTACACACATGAGACTTCTCTAAGTTAGGGGCCATGTTTCTTCTCTGTCCACAGGCTCTTCTGGCCTAAATCCCGCTCCTTTGACTACCTGTACAGTGATGGGGAGATTTTACTGCAGAACTTCCCTGTCCAGGCAACCATCAATCTGTATGAGGACTCACACAGTGAAGAGGAGGAAGAGGAAGAGGAAGAGGAGGAGGACAAAGAAGAGGAGGAGAAAGAGGAGGCAGATGAAAAGGGGCCAGAAGAGTGTGTGAGGGTACCAGGATCAGCACCACACAGGGCCACAGCTCATCATCCTTCTCTACCCCTGACCTGTCCAAACTGAGCCCTTCAGAGTCTGATTGGGGTTCAGTATGCCTGGCAAGGCTCCAGGGCATCGATTAGCCACGAATCTCTAGGCACAGCTCTCTGGATTGAAAGTTGGGTCCTTGAGTCACCAGCTCACCCTGGCTGTACCCAACTGGCCTGTGAGCCCAAGCCTCTGGCATCTCATTGTTTGGGCTGCTGTTGTGTTGACAGTGGGAGGGTCCTAGAAGTTCTAGGGGAAGGAAGACCTGCTTTCTGAAACCCCCAGGAAGCAGATCAGGACAGAGCATGCCCATGTAGAGGGAAACTGTCATTCTTCAGGGCTCTTTGACTCCCCAGCCTTCCAGGTGGTCACATAGTCCTGTCTCCCCATAGAAACCCAGATTTCTGGCTCCACCTCTAGGGTTACCGACACCAGATCCAAGCAAAGGTGGGATGCCTTTCTGATGGGCCTTTCAGGAAGAGAAGGGGGCATGGGGAGAATCAGCTTGCTTTGGGTACCTCCCTCCATTTTGCCTGCTATCCTTTGGGGTCTGTATTGGCATGAGATGAATCAGGAGAAAAATAAACTAGATGATGCTTGCCTTTTTCCTGGAACTGTGCTGATTTCTTAACTGAACTCTGCTCGTGTTGTGAAGCCATGGGCAGAGGGTCAGAGATCAGCTCAAGGCCAGTTCATTGCTCTACCTGAGGTCAGTTGATAGCTCTGTCTTCATGGGGATGTAGGGCCGGGGAATCAGCACAGGGCTGTCAACTTGTGAAATCAGATTTGGTTAAACTTCAAAGACTGCTTGGAAAGGGAGCAAAAAGACCCCCAAAGGGCAGCTTGAAAGTTGGGATTAAGGCTGGGGGTTGGGGGGGTGGTGAGAGGTGCAGCCTCAGTCGAGCCTTGGAGATGAGTGTGTGCATGTGGCGGGGGGGGGGGGGATTGAGGGGCTACTAAGTCCTAGCAATTTTACCTCCTCAATTCCCTTTGTATGTCCCACAGTTCAGGCCCTCATGCTGACCCCTGCCCCAATGACTCTTTAAGTAATTTTCTTGCCTCCTGCACATGACTTTGTGATTCGTCCTCCACACTGGCCATCAGATCAGACCGTGTTGTGCCCCTGCTTAAAGCCCTACCGTGGCTCTTCATTGCCTCACCAATAGGCGGACTTATCTTTTTTTTTTTTTTTTGATCACAGATCCTCTTGAGACTCCTGCTTCTTTATGCATATATTCACAGATCAAGCCCTTTACTTGATATTCTGGGCTGTCCAACTGCCTTGTTCTTACCTGTCTCTTCAGACTCATCTCTTAACACTTGAAGCCTAAGCTGCCTGTCCACGAATGTGTCATGCTTTCTAACACCTCTGTGACTTTAATCTCTGTCTGGAATGCCTTTCCACTTTTGCATGTCTGATAAACTCCCATTCACCCAATAGGAAGACTCAGACACCGCTCCTGTGAGAAGGCCTCCCCCGCCCCCAAGTCCAGGTTGGGTGCCCCCATTACATTCAATGCCTCTCCAACCACAGCATCTGTCCCCCTTCCCGTGCAGTAAGACAGGGCTGTGTTTGATATCCCTGTGTGACTTCACTGCACAGCAAACTGCCTGGCACAAAGGAAGCACTCAAGAAATGTTGAAGGAAAAGGATTCTTAGGTCTTCTTAAAGCAGTTCTTGGCAGAGCTGCCTCCATCCCCCCGCTTCTGGCTTCCTGCATCTTCGCTTAGCTACTAACAGGAGAGAGTAACGTCATCTGATTCAGAAGCAAAATGCTGCCCATCTTCCTTTCCCTCCTCCCTCAACTTGAGACAGGCTGCTACAGTTCTGAGCCCAGCTGGGACTTCCATGAACTGGACGCAGCCTTGAGCAGGCCACCAAACTCACACACTGGTGCCATCTATTGGTCAAAATTTAACCTTGTCCCTCAATTAATGTTGCCAAGCAGTTGACCTTTGCCCGCTTTAATTCCTTGAGTCCATTCTTTTTTCGCTTGTAAGAAAAGTGGAATCTACCGTGTGATAATTGTATGACCTCGGGCAAGTTACTTATCCACTCTGAGCCCTAGTCTCCTCATCTGTGACAAGGGGGAAATAACGATACTTCCTCTCAGTGTGAAGATTCAATGAGATAATATACGGAAAGTACTGAGCACAGCCCCTGGAACCAAGTAAAAGCACTCAATAAGTGGTAGTAGTCACAGCAATCATAGTCATAGCAGTGGTTATTATTAATTTGATAACAGAAATGAGCTTATAGGCTAGAGATAACTAATGACTGGTGTACTCAACTAATGACTCATTTCCCAGTCGTCTCCGCCTGATCTCCTCGCACCATTTGATGGTTTACCAGTCAAACCATCTTTGCAGTGTCTGTCTCTCATAACAAAAAAATGAAACAGAGGCCAAATGTGGCTTCCTGGGCCACTCTTTCCAGGTCTCCAGTCCCTTTTTCTTAGGACAGAGGTTTGAAAACTTATTTTTTGTGCCTTAGCAGGAACACTTTTCTTTTGAATGCAGAGGCCCAGTATACAGACCAAATAAAGATGGAGCTGCCTTGGTGGAGGCCATAGTGGGGGAGGCAGAATCCCTACCCTGGTGTCCTCTCTCTTGTAAACTAACTCCTCCTTCTCTCAGGCACCTTCGGGGTTCCTAGGTTGTGGGGAAGACTGTTTGAAACCACTGACCCAACGGTTAAAACAAGATTGATGAGAAGTCTCAGGGGGGTTAGTATTTTAACGCGTCCAGTATTCTGTTTAAAATCCTTGTTTCGGGTTCTAAGCTTCCAGCATGTCATAGCTCAAAAATTGCTCCAGTCCTGGTACCATAGGTTGTAGAGGTTTAAAATCCTTGGAATCCCAATATCCTTGGTTTTAGGGTATTATATAGCATAGAATTACAAATCCCTAAATCCCCCGGGGTTTAAAGACCCTAAAACCCTTGGAGCAGTAATTCTTAACTCCCAATGAGCTCCTCTCGCTTTCCCTCCCCCGACCCGCCCCCCGCCCCTTACTGCACACTTGCTGTTGGTCAGCAGCAGACATTTTGTCTCACTTTCCTCCCTGTCGCCTGCCCTGAAACGGCTTCCAATCTTCTTTCCCACACATGGTTGCTAAGTGATTGGAATTCTGACTAACAGAGCCCAGTGTGAGTTACTTTGTTATGGGTGTATCCAGCCCTCGTAGCAACTTCAAATCCAGTGCACAAACTCCGGAGAAAAATCTCTATGCAAAATTCAGAGTCCTTCCTCCGGTTCCACCATCCTAGTGCCCTATACTTCCTCACCCCAGCACTGATGCCTCCTGTTTCCCCCACCCCATGGCAACAGAGAGAGGGCACAGTGGGTGAGCATCAGGCTGCATTTGAGACGGGCCTTGAAGGATGGGCCAAGGTAGAGATGGAGGGAGAAAACTTTCCAGAAAGAGGCAGCAGTATGAATTCCTTCATTAAACAAGTATTTATTGAGCAGCTACTTACTCTGTGCCCGGCATTAATATTGTAATGATTGAGAGCATGGGCTTTGGAGGCAGAGGTACTTGGGTTCGAATCCCCTACCTGCCACATGCTGGCTCTATCCATAGGCCCACTCCCCTCAGGGGTCAAAGTCAGGTCTCTGTTCTTAGCCCTCTCACTACCACCTCTGTAGTCCCTTATTATACCACATACCCCACCCCCGCACATGCTCATTAAAATAGTAGCCTATTCTCCTCTGTCTCTGGGCAAGGAAAGGGCCCTCCCCTACCACAGCGGGTGCTACAATGCCACCCCAAGCCCCCCACCCCCGTGTGATTATCTAGTGGGCAGTTTGTCTCCTTCCTGCCCCAGGCCCCTGTTGTAAAGTGGTTGCCAATCCTCCTCACAAACAAGGTTGTTAGGTGGCCTGAGTTCACTGTTCTGACCTCTCGGGGGCCTGGCGTTGGTTACTGTGTTTTTGGTTTACTCCCAATTGGCAAGGCTTGCAGCAACCTCCATGCAACCAGACAAACACACATGCAAAAACCTGGGAAACAGGGAGTGCCCAGGAAGTGACAGTCACAACACTCTGCCGGGCACTTGCTACTCACGTTACCGCCATGAGCTCCTACGGTAGTACAATCGCCGCAATCCCAGGAGATGATAGGCACAATTTTTATGCTCATTTATGAATGAGAAAACTGAGAGTTCACAAGCTGACATGGATTAACTCCTTTAATGTAACAACCCTGAGGGATAGGTACAGTTAGGAAAACTGAGGCTTAGAGCATTTTTATAAAAAAATAATAACTTGCCCCAAATCACACAGCTGGTAATCTGTGGCACCTTCTAAATTAAGGCACTTGACATGTATTGCCTCATTTAATCCTGACAACAACCCTGAGACATAAGTACTATTATTATCCTCCTTTTATAGATGAGGAAACTGAGGTTCAGAGAGATTAAGAAATTTGCTCCAGGTCGCACAATGAATAAATGGCTGAGGCAAGATTTGAGCACTTGCCCTTGGGTTACACGAATGACAAGTAGCAGGACCGGGATTCAAGTCTGTCTCATTCGAAAGCCTTGTGATTTCAGGAGGTGGCATCTACAAGGCTTGGTGTAGGATTAAATCTTTGGGAGGACTGGAGAGAAAAGCTTTCAATTCTGGCTGGAGGGAAGTGAGTCAGAGGTTAGGAACAATTCTGGGCCTGGAAAAGCTGAAGGCTACTGAAATGTGTCACCAAGGGAGGGACACTTGGGGGCCTCCTCCTGGGCAGTGGTGGGCTCTCACAGAACCTGGGCTGCTTCAGGCACAGGGCTACCAGAGGCAAGGCGCTGATGAGGGACTTCTGTTCCTGCCGCTCACCGCTGTGCGGCCTCTTAGAGGAAGGGGTCCTGGCTGAGGAGTCTGGGCCCAGAGGGAGGGACTACCAATTGCCGAGCTCTCCCGTGGTGCACCAGGCACTGGGCTAGCACCGCACACGCTTTATCCTGAACAAGGCTCACCAAATCCCGCCGGGTGGGTAGTGCTATCTTCATGTTTACAGATGGGAAACTGGGGCGCAGAGAGGCGAAGCGACAGCCAAGAACTGAGGAAGCTTGGGGGAGAACCGGGACAGTGTAGCTACAGAGTCCTGGCTCTTAACTACTAGGCTCCTCCTCCCCTTCTACTCCCTTCCCCGCAGAAGCAGTAAACTGTCATGCAAAGGGATTTCTATCCCCATCATTGGGGACACCTGGGGCCTGGGGCCAAGTGTGATTTAAAAGGGCTTGAAGAAGAGCCCGAGAACAAGCTGGAGTCAGGCTCTGGGTTCTTCGAGAATTCTTCCACTCCTGGGAGAGAAGAGCCAGCTCCCACAAGTTCCTCGAAATTCAACGGGTGTCTGTTAACAGCAGGAGAGGCAGCGCCCCCTAGTGGCTGAGCTCTAGACTAAGCCTGGACCTACAGCGCTAGGTAAAGGATCAGGAGGCCCACCCACTCAGAGGATTCTATGGCCAGCAGTTTAGTGCCTGGTGGTTATGGGGACAGGCTCTGGAGTCGTGCTAGCCCTTGGTTCAAATATTGGTTCTCTTCCTTGCTAGCTAAGTGACCATGGGAAAAATAGCAAATTAATCTCTAACCCTGAGTTTCTTCATGTGTAAGATAGGGATGATATAATACTAATTTTACAGGGTTATTTTAAGGACTAAATGAGGTAATACATGTAAAGGACTTAGCAGAGTACAGGGCACTTTATAGGTGTGAGATACATATGTATGTGTGTGTGTATATATAAAATCATTGTTCTTTTCTTGGCACTCGCTATCATTTGAGAGTTGGATCTTTGGCTCCCCTTGACTTCCCTGTCTAGCTCTATTAGGTCCCTGGTGCCCCCAAGCCCACTGTCTTGCCCCAAGGGAGGCACTGACAACACACTCACCTGAGGCTTGTGGGCAAAACCTGTGCTAAAACACTTGCTTTTCTCCATGTATACTTTCAAGAATCTTGGACCATATATCTTTGTCCTTCACTATCCGGAGAATGTTAATAAGCTTGCTTTAGACAGGTGCTAGACTCTTTTTGAGTCTCAAAGCAGCTTTATATCCATGATCTCATTGGAATCTATTAATACTCTCTGATATATTCCCATTTTTCAATGAGAAAATTGAAGATGATGGGAATGGAAGTGACTTGCTCAAGGACGTACAGCAAGTCAGTGCAGGAGTCAAGACTGGACCCAGAATCCTGCACTGAGTCCAGTGCTTTTCCACCAACTCTTGCAGTCTTCCCTGAGCTCCGGCTATATGTGAAGCATCTATAATCCAGGATACAGCTTACTGTTTGGTCCCACATCACTGCACTCTGACAACAAGTCTCCTGCTTCTGCTGAGGCCAAAGCTGTATCCCCAGTAAACTCTCAAACTATGATTCTTCTCCTAAAAGAAATGGCAGCCAGTTACCAGAACTGGTGATCCAAGACAGCCACATCTCCAACACATGCCAAGAGTACAATTAAATGTTAGATGACAGGTTTGAGGAGAGATGAACATTATCTCCCCAGCCAAGCAGCATGCACTGCTGAGAAATTAACTGCTGTCTGGTACTCACAGCCAGCTGGATTTAGCCACTCATCTCATGTTGGACATGACCATCAGGAGCTCAAAGGGGCCACTCTGTCCTTAGTCAGTACAAAGATCAGGAGGTGGTGATGTGTGTCATCAGCATGGGTCCAGATGGCAGCACCTGTTTGCAGGCACTGAGAGAAGCAGTATGATAATAGCTCTCAGTGTCGCTTGACATGACTCTAGGGGTAGAGAATGCAGGCTTGACTGTCAGTACCAGAGGCTGGTCTCCTCTCACTCTAACACACTGGCAACAGCACAAGCACTGCTGAGATAACAAATCATCAAGCCCAAAGACCCCCTCCTTAGCCCCTATGTGACACTGAAGCCCTGGCAAGCTTTGTTCTTTTGAGAGGGGAATCTTGTTACTTCCTTCTGGAGCATTGGCTCTCTGGGTGGCACTGAATTTCCCTTTCTGTTGTCACTTGCTCTTCACTCTTTCTTCACTATGGCAACCCAGGAGAGGGAGCCAGCACTGAAATCAACTCCTCCCCACAGACATATGTGGAACAGCAAATGTACCCTCTCTAATATTAGGGAAGGGGAACATTTTTAACCCTATCTCCATGCTTCAGAGTTGGTCCTTGGTGGAGAGCAAATACTTTCACTCACAATTCCAGGCACTTGATATAGATCTTCCTGCATAGGATCTACTAATTTGATTGGTCTGAGATCAATCATTAGGCTACATCTCACCAGTGAGCAGAGTCATCACAGTGAAAAGTGATATACATCTGTGACTATATCGTTGGTTCCACCTGCTATGGATGATTAGGTTAGGCCAAATTTATTCTGAATACCTTGGCTTCTCAGATTCAGAGGGGAGGGAGTAGATTAAGCTGCAATTTCCAACCCATTTTTTTTTTAACCAGAGAACCTTGCAACAGAAGAATAGAAAAAGGGGAGGCAGGGTTACCAAGCATATGCTGTATTCTTGAATCAAGCTTTTATTAATAAATGGTACTTTGCTTGCTGTTCTACTCATATCTCCTTGTGCTTATAGCTTTCTCAGTGCGAAGCCTAGAGAAGAAGGGTGACTAGTTGGATTCAGGCATGAAAACTCCGCCTTAAACCCACAACACCTAGAAAGATTAGTGCGGGATCAGAGTCTGGTCCCAGCCTATGTCTACACTGGGCAGGGAAGGGGCACTTGTTCAATTTCTTCACCTTCCACTGAGCTCTGAGGACCTGGGGAACAAATTCAATTTCCATTCAAATTCCATACTGAGCTTCTAGTTGTGTGTTGCTCTTTCATGGGCATCCAGATGTGACCTGACTGTAGTGGGATTGTTAGCCTGGGCTTAGGGGTTTTGCCTTGGGTTAGCAGTGAAAATTTCCCCTGCTCAAACAGATTCATGGAAACTTTAAGCACTTTTGGAAAGCTGATGACAATTGCCGTAGGTAAGTTAAGTTTAAAATAAAAATCCGTTCTTTGTAAACTTATTTTAAACGCTTTTTTAATGACTATGTAATATTTTCTGAGGTGGAGGCAGTGTCGTGGGAAGGAAAGAACACCAGAATCAGGAGACTTGACTCAGGTACTTGTTCAGGTTCTGTCAATTATTATCTGTAACATCTTGGACAATTGACTTAGTTTCTTCATCTCTAAATGGGGACAGTCTTTAGCCTATCAAGCTCATAGGTTTGTTGGAAATGAGGTCCGAGTGGATAGTTCTATGATGAAACCACTCTGAAAATTGTAAAGTGTTATATACAGTTGTATTTTAATAAGCACTGCAAAAGGAACTTCAGTATAATTATCTGCCTTTCCAAAAACAGACACAAACCCCAGAAATTTCTGGGAGAAACCATTGGAGATTTGTCGTAAAAGCCATTCAGTGAAATTAGTAGAGAAGCTAAAGCTTCTGGCTTTACTTCTAGAGGCAACTGAAAGATTTCTGTTTTTCTGTCTGCCCACCTTTCCCGGATACCTCATTTTCCAATTAACTTGGGGAAGTTGTCCAAGAGGCTCTGTGTACAAGACTTTGCATATGGGAGCAGTAGCTATGCTTGAATTGCTGGGAGCAGTGACTTTTGGTAGTTGCCATTGGCATTGGCTTACAAAATCTTCAGTTCATGCTATTTCTTCAGAGCTATGCTGCCTGCGCATTTGAGTAAAATAAACATATTAAGCTACTCTGAATGTACTCAGTATGTTAGGAAAATGGATTTTTTTTTTTCTAGAAACCACTGTAAGGATTCATGCTATTAAATTCCAAAAAGATATTGGAAATTCTAAGAAATTGCTCTCTGAAATGGGTCAAAAACTTACAAACAATCTGTAAAAGAATTACCACAGGCATAAGAACAGCACTAAAAATGGTAAGAGAAATCCAAACTGACCCAAACATTTACTGAAACATAAAAAGTAAAATGAAGGCAGAGTCATGGGACTAAAAATAAAATGTTAAAAGTAAGAGAGTTTCTTTTTACTTTTAAGAAAGGGAAGGGTGGAGATACTAGTCTTTATGTAATATACTATACTCTTTTTTTGTACCCTTCCCCTCTGAGACACATAAAAACTATAAATAGGTCCTTGAAGAGTTAGTAGAAAGGAAAATGTTTCTGTTACTATTGAATAGAAGGTAAGAATTATAAATGTAGATATTTGCAAGTCTTCCTTATATCTATTCTTGTGAATCCAAGAATATTACGTGCAGTTGGAGATGCCATAACTGAAACCAGATAGAGGAGAGTATGATTGAAAGGAAAGAAATAGAGGATTAAAGAATTAGCCATCTTAAAAATGCTTACAGAAACTAGTATCCAAAAGTGAAAAATCTATGGTTGTGTTTGGGTGGTAACATTAGACGTGATTTTACTTTATTTTCTCTTTGTTCCAAATGCTCCTTAAAGGGCTTACATTGTTTTTAGACTTTTCTTTTAAGTTAAGGGTTAAAGAAGTCAGAGGAAAAAAAGAAAGATCAACTTCAAAAGAGCAACAATAAAACTGACAGCTTAAAAGAAACAATAGAAATCGAAAGACAATGTGATGGTATTGTCCAACTGCTGGAAAAGAAAACAAAAGAGCAATCTAGAATTTGATATCCAGAAAAGATATCTTTCAAAAATGAAAGTGAACACACCCACACAAAAATGTCCAATTGATTTTTGACAAAGGTGCAAAAGCAATTCAATGGAGAAAGATACCCTTTTCAAAAAATGGTGCTGGAACAATCGGACATGCAGAGACAAAAAAATGAACCTCAACCTAAACCTTACACCTTATACAAAATGGATAACAGACAAATGTAAAACATAAAATTATAAAACGTTTAGAGAAAACCATAGCAGTAAATCTTTGGGATCTACAACGAGTCAAAGAATTCTTAGACTTGACACCCAAATCACCATACTATAAGAGAAAAATTGATTAATTGGGCCTCATCAAAGTTCTGTGAATTGCATGAAAAGATGAGCTACATACTGGGAGAAAATATTTGCAAATCACATAGCTGACAAAGGACCTGTACCTAGAATATAAAAAGAACTCTCAAAATTCAACAGTAAAAACACAAACAATCCAATTAGAAAATGGGCAAAAGACATGAACAGACATTTCACTGGAGAGAATATACACATGGTAAATAGACACATGAAAAGATGTTCAACATCATTACCTGTATTAGTTTGCTGGGGCTGCCATAAAAAAATACCACAAACTGGCTTAAACAACAAAAATTTATTTTCTCATAGGTCTGGAGGCTGGAGGTCCAAGATCAAGGTGTTGGTAGTGTTGGTTTCTTTTGAGGCCTCTCTCCTTGGCTTGCTGATATCTGTTCTCTTGCAGCCTCTTTACTTGGGCGTCCCATAGAGATGTGCATGTCTCTTTCTCTTCCTATAAAGACGCCAGTCCTATTGGATTAGGTTCTCACCCTAACAGCCTCATTTTAACTTAATCACCGCTTCAAAGACCTTATCTCCAAATACAGTTGCAGTCTGAGGTGCTAGGGGCTGGGACTTTAACATATGAATTTTGGGAGGACACAATTCAGGCCATAAAATTAACCATCATGGAAATGCAAATTAAAACCACAATGAGATACCACTACATGCCTATCAGATTGGCTAAAAAAAAATAGTGACAACACCTAATGCTAGAGAGGATACTGAGAAGCTGGATCACTTATACATTGTTGGTGGGAATGTAAAGTGGTACAGGCGCCCTGGGGAAAAAATATGGCAGTTTTTCACAAAATTAAACATGCATAAGCCATACAACCCAGCAACTGCACTCTTGGTCATTTATCCCAGATGAATGAAAACTCATGTTCACACCAAAACTTGTACACCAATTTTCATAGTAGTTTTGTTCATAATATCCCAAAACTGGAAACAGTCCAGATATACTTCAATAAGTGAATGGTTAAACAAACTGGGCACATCCATACCATGGAATACTACTCAGCAATAAAAAGGAACTAACTATTGATATAAATGACAACCTGAGTGAATCTCCAGGGAATTGTGAGGAATGAAAAAAGCCAATCCCCGGAGGCCACATAGTGTATGATTCCATTTATATAATATTTGAAAGGATAAACTTTTAGGAAAGGAGAATATATTAGTGGTTTCCAGGAGCTGGGATGGGTGGGAGGGAGATGGATGTGGCTGTAAGAGGTAGCACCAGAGTGCCTTGTGATATAGAACTGCTCTGTATCTTGGATGTGGTGGTGGTCAGATGAATCTAACAAGTGATAAAACTTCATAGAATGAAACACACACACATATGAATACAATTAAAACTGGAGAAATCTCATTAAGGTCAGTGTATTGAATCAACGTCAATTTCTTGGTTGTAATATTGTACTATATTTATGCAAGATGTTACCATTGGGGGAAACCGGGTAAAAGCTATATGGGATCTTTCTATATTATTTCTTATAACCGTGTGTAAATTTAATTCACGATAAAAAATTTAGAAAAATGCCGGGAGCCGTCAGCCTACAAGTTAAGCCTCTGCCTTGTGACACGGTCCGGGAGAGAGATGAGGGGACGCACGGCGACCCTCAAGGGAATCTACCAGGCTGCCCCTGCAACAAGTCTCCCTGGTACTTTTGACTTTCCTGCTTCTGCTTACTCTGTTCTGCACCTGGGGTTATTTCAGGGGAAGTCAGCCCGGCCCTGGGAATGAGAATGATACAATACAATATTCTAGGGAAAGTTCTGGGGAAAAACATCTTCTAAGGAAAGAACATTCTGACCCGTCCTTTGGTCGGGTAAAGTGGTGGGAGTGGAGAGGGAACAAAGAAATCTGTGGCCCCCACAGATCTCTCTGGGAGGACGGTGGTTGCCACGGCCCATTGAGTCAGGAGGCCGCTGGGGGTAGCCTCCTTGAAGTAAAGAATTACAGAAGCTTGACTCCCCCCGGGCCTACACACAATCAACTGCTCTTAGGAGTATTGTCTACCTTGCAGTCAATTGCTCTTAGGACTATTGTCTACCTTACAAAAACCCGCTTACGCGAGCCAAAAATATGTACTGGGACTGTTTCATGAAATCATCCTTGCATATCCTGAGCCCTATATAAATCATACATACACAAAATAAAGTTAGACTTGGACACCAAACTCCTTGGCTCACTGCCTCCTCCTTCGCTGATGCCGTCCATCCCTCAGGAGACCCTGTTCGGCTGGGGCTGGACCCCGGCAGAAAAAGACAGTAAACTAAAGATATTTTCAGATAAACATAAACTGAGAAAATCTGTCACCAGTAGACTCACACTAAAAGAAATATTAAATACAAATGATCCAAGATGGCAGCTTAGAGTTGCATGAAGTAATGAAGAACAAAAAAATAGTAAATCTGTTGGCAAATCTAAGTAAATATTGATGGTATAAATTAACAATAATAATGTCATGTAAGGTCAACAATAAACAGAGAATTAAATTACACAGCAACAATAACAAATAAGTCATGAGGAGAATAAATAAGGTTAAAGAGTTCATGCAAGAAGCATGAACTAGAGATAACAAGGATTATTTCATGATAATAGATTCAATCCTCCAGGGAGAGAGAAGATTTTTAAATTTTAATGTAAACAATACCTAGACTCAACATTTCTTTTATTTATTTATTTATTTATTTAATTTGGTTTTTTTGGTGAGGAATATTTGCCCTGAGCTAACATCCATTGCCAACCCTCCTCTTTTTTTGCTTGAGGAAGATTAGCCCTGAGCTAACATCTGTGCCAATCTTCCTCTATTTTGTATGTGGGATGCTGCCACAGCATGGCTCGTGACTGGAGTAGGTCTGCACCAGGGATCTGAACCTGCAACCCAGGTCCACTGAAGCAGAGTGGGCAGAACTTCAACCACTTGGCCATGGGGCCAGCATCCAGACTCAAAATTTTTAAAGAAAAACTGGACAGAAATAAAAGTCGATACATTCATCATCACAGGACAATTCTATCTTACCTCTTTCTGTAAATGACAGAAGAAGCAGACAAAAATTGGTAAAGCTACAAATTGTGCTTGTCCAATACAGTAGTTACTGGCCACATAGCATGATTGAGTACTTGAAATGTGGCTAGTCCAAG